AAAATATTTGAAATGAAAAAATTTTATAAAACAAGAAATGCCAGCCGTTGGGTCGTGAAATCCAATGGTTGGCTATTTGGGTCTACACTGCCTGACATTAACAAGATTATTTAAGCTTTTCAAGGGCAAAAATGACAAAAGGAGCGAAAAATAAAGAAATAAAGGGTGCTCAGTTCACCGTACGAGCTCGATCCCCTTTTCAAAAATGCCTGATGATTTATTTTTTGAAGCTATAAGGATAGGTCTGATGTCTTTAATCTCGGACGTACTGTAATAATTCTTTAATAGTCGAAGTGAAGTTAAATTCTGCACTTTTCGGTCAAATAGCTATATGATAAATACAGTGGACATGTCCACACCTGATCTATCACACACAATTTCCCGATCCTGAATTTATCGCCTTAAGGGACATGTCACACCTCAATTATCCTGTTAAGCAAACCACGTGGACACCTTACTAAAGTTTATAAATATCCCCTAGGAGCCATCTTAGAAAGGTAATTGAAATTGACCTAAAGCTCCTCTTTTATTATTCTAAAAAGGTGATCCAATTATTGCTTACTTAAGCATCGGAGTATCTACATCAAGAACCCACCTCGGGGCCTTGCAGGTTCATTCGAAGTGAAGACGCAGATTGAAGAAGGACTTCTAGTTTGGTGCAATTACATTGGCGCTGTCTGTGGGAATCCAAACTGAAAGCTCTCTTGTTGCTCTCTCGTCATGGTCAACACTCAATTTGTCCGAGCTGGAAATCAGGCTCAACCTCTTGGACAAGGTCAAAGTCAGCTCCCACCTCCGATCCCGAATCTATTCCCTCCTGTTGACTGAGCAAAGGGTGGAGATGAAAACCAACCTCACAACTCAACTCACAACTTAGCTTCCACTACTAATCAAGACGTAGTTATAGCTCAGCTTGCTGCCATGCAACAACAGTTTGGTGTCTTCCAGTTAGTTTTGGCTCAGCTTCTAGCTCAGAATAATCCTGGCGATCCCCTCATCAATCTACTTAACTCTACTCAACAACCCCATGTTCAATAGCAAGATCCTCAACCAGTTCAGCATGCTTCTACTCTCAATGAGTCTCAAGTAGCCCCAGCTTAACAACCTCTACCTGATGATGTCACTCGACGTCTAGACAGTTCAGAACAACTGGTAGCTGAGCAGCGAGGTGCCCCACCTCCACATCATAACACAGATTCCATACCTCATCCTCTGAAGTCTGAACACTAACATCACATCGGAACCTTACCCTGTCGGCTTCAAGATACCTCAGTTTGAGACATATGATGAGACGAATGATCAAGATGATCACCTCTATGCTTTCTACTCCTGTACGCAAGCTCAGAATGCTTCTGATGCATTGATGTGCAAAATCTTTCCCTCCACTCTCCGTGGCAATGCTTGAACATGGTATTATAGTTTGCTCCCGAGATCTATCAGCTCCTATTTAGAAATGGCATATACTTTTGCCACAAAGTTTTACAGTAGAAGGTTGATTAGGAAAACCACTTTTGAACTGATGTGAGTCAAACAGAGGGAAGGAGAATCTCTGAAGAATTACATGAGCCGGTTCAACGATGAAGTCCTCGAAGTCAGCTCATTCAACCAAGCCGTGGGAATTGCGGCTGTAATTCAAGGTCTCCAGCACGAGAGATTTAGAGATAGCTTAATCAAGCATCCTACTGCTACTTTTAATGAAGTCAACGACAGATCGTTGAAATTCATAATTACTGAGGAATATGCCTTATCACAGAAACCAATTCTTCCCAAGAATCAAAATCCAAATTGGAGAGATGAGGGTCAAAGCAGAAAGCGGATGAAGACAACGCAAAACCGAGGTCCGATGTCGACCTCTATAGTGAGATTCGGAAAGCCGAACTCACTACCCCCTCAGCAAAATATTAGTAAAGCACCAGTTACCTGGATCTCTTTCAATTTGCCGAGGTCGCAGATATTCATGCAGATCAAGAATAAGATCGACTTAAGGCAACCAAGACCAATGAGAAGTTTCGCTGCTACACGTGATCATACTAGATACTATGATTTTCATCAAGATCATGGTCATACAACGGAGCAATGTAATAGCCTAAGGTATGAGTTGGAAAGTCTAGCTCAAAAGGGAATGCTGAATGAATACATCCAGAGATTCGAGCAATCGAAGTTTGGTAGAGAATAGGGGCCACAACCGTAGGGATCTCATAATGTAGGAAATAGACAGGAAGTGGGATATCATCAAGCCCCACCATCGCTTCCGCCACCAGCTAGAATTATACACATGATTACCGGAGGATTGGAAGCAAGGGGTTTGAGCTCCAAGCAGAGAAAATTGTATGTCAGAGAGGTGAAGCATCAAAGCCGAGCCTAGAAACGAAAGTTTGACGACACTGATTGGAAAAATCAACCAATCACTTTCACATCTGTTGATTTCGATACAATTATCACACCTCATAATGATCCTCTGGTCACTTGCGTCATGATTAAAAACTGTGAGGTACAACGTGTCTTTGTTGACATAGGGAGTGCACCAAATATTATGTACTTTCACTGTTTTGAGAGTCTTGGGCTAGATCCATCTTTGTTGCAGAGGTACGATGGTCCCATCTATGGATTTAACAACCAACCTACTCAAGTAGAAGGAGTCCTTATTTTCAATGTTGCTTTTGGGAGTGGCCGAGCTTATGTTACCTTTTCAAATCGGTTTCTAGTTGTCAAAATGGCATCCTTTTTCAATGCTGTTATTGGCCAACCCACATTAACCGAGATCCGAGCTGTGGTCTCTCAATCTCACCTTTACATGAAGTTCCCAACTCCCATGGGGATATCAACACTACGAGGTAACCAGGAGGTGTCTAGACATTGCTACATTACCTCAGTTACAAGGCCTCAGAAAGGCAAAGATCAGACACCAGAAACCATTCCCCAACAGGTTCATGATAGTCAACAGGTAATGGGAGTTGAGATAGTAGACAACCGACCTGAAGATGAAACCAGAGCTACCCTAGTTAAGGATGTAGAAGAAGTTCAAATTGATGACAGAGATCCAAACAGGAAAACACAAATTGGAACTCGGTTGAACCCAAAGGAAAGAGCAGACTTAATAGCTTTCCTCTGAGCGAACAAAGATGTCTTCGCTAGGACCTCAGCAGACATGCCAAGGATCCCAACCTCGGTATCTCAACACAAACTCAACACTAATCCATTAAAGAAACCAATAGCCTAGAAGTGACGTCTCTTTGGGGGGGGGGAGAGGCTTCAGGTTATAAAAGAAGAGGTAGAGAATCTCCTACAAGCTGGTTTCGTCAGAAGAGTTGATTACTGTGAATGGGTGGCTAACCCGGTGTTGGTCAAAAAGGCAAATGGCAAATGGCAAATGTGCATCGACTACACAAATCTCAACCAAGCTTGTCCCAAAGACTGCTATCCAATGCCAAGCATTGACAAATTGGTTGAAGCGGCTTTTGGAAATGAGAGATTAAGTCTCTTAGATGTATATTCTGGTTACCACCTTGTGCCGATGGCTCTAGAAGATGAAGAGAAAATCTCGTTCTATACAGTTGATGAAATTTACTGTTATGTCATGATGCCATTTGGCTTAAAGAATGCAGGTGCCACTTACTAGAAAATGGTAACCATTGTCTTTTGACCTTAGATCGATAAGAATCTGGAGGTTTACGTTGATGATATTGTAGTGAAGAGCCTGAAAGTAGAATACCATCCAGCTTATCTCGATGAAACATTCAACAACCTCAAAAAGAACAGGATGCAGTTAAACCCAGCCAAATGCATCTTCAATGTGGAGTCCGAGAAATTCTAGGCTTCATGGTTTCCCGGAAAAGGATTGAGGTCAACCCAGAAAAGATTAGAGCAATTGCCGAGATGGAACCACTGAAGTCGGTGAAAGATATATAAAGATTAACTAGAAGGGTGGCAGCTCTTCATAGATTCATATCGAAGTTAGTAGATAAGTGCCTGCCATTCTTCAAGATCATGAGGTCAACAGCCCAGAAGGATGAATTTGGCAAATAGAAGAAGTTTGAATGGAACCAAGAATGCCAAGCTGCATTCGATGAGCTGAAGCCTTATCCTAGCTCCCCACCTCTACTAACTAAGGCTATAGATGGAGAAATTCTCTATTTGTACCTCGATATTTTTGACAAAGCAATTAGTTTAGTTTTAGTGAGAGAAGAAGGCAAACAATAGAAACCAATTTATTATATTAGTAGCGTGCTACACAGAGCAGAACTGAGGTACCCTATTGCTAAGAAAGTACCACTAGCAGTTGTCACTTCAGCTAGAAAGTTGAAGCCATACTTCCAGTCACATCCAATCATCGTCCTCACAGACCAACTTCTTCGACAGATCCTTTAAAAGCTAGAGTGTTCCGGAAGGTTAATTAAGTAGGCAATAGAATTGGGGGAATTCAAGATAACATTTCAGCAGAGGTCTGCGATCCTAGCTCAATCACTGGTGGATTTCATCGTGGAATGCACCCCATGTCACTCAATCCCTAACCCCGAGCCAAGCAAATGGACCTTATATGTTGACGGAGCATCTAATAGCAAGGGTTCAAGAGCTAGTGCTTTCTTAATTGGCCCAGATGGATACCGAAGTGAGCATGCTTGAAATTTAACTTCGATGCAACAAATAACATGGCTGAGTATGAAGCTTTGCTACTTGGTTTGCAACTAGCATTAGAGCTGAAAGTCATGGTGATACAAGTATGCAATGACTCGCAGCTTGTGGTTAATCAAGTCAACTCAATTTGCCAAGTTGTTGATCCTGTGATGATGAAATATGTAGCCCTGGTGGCCAAGCTAAAGTGCAAATTTCAGAAATTTTGTCTAAACAAAATTCCCTAAACTGAAAATGAACAGGCAAATTCACTTTCTAAGTTTGCCTCTGATAGCTCTTTGAGCTCCAGATTAGTTTTCATGGAAGTTTTAGATGAACCAAGCTTCATGAAGCCACGAATGATAGAGATTAGCACAGACCCGAATACACCGAGCTGGATTGATCCAATTATCTCCTTTCTATAAGACGGGACAATGCCTGAAGATAAGTAAGAGGCAATGAGGGTGAGGAAGAAAGTGTCTCAATAAACACTTGTCGATGGGGTCCTCTATAAGAGATCTTTCTCACTCCCTCTTCTACAGTGTTTAAATCCCTACGAAACTGAGTATGCACTTCGGGAGGTGTACGAAGGTGTATGTGGAAGCCACATTGGTGCTAGAACCCTGGCTCACAAAGTCCTTAGGCAAGGATATTACTGGCCAAATATGTACAAAGATGCTACTCACTTTGTTCAGAGATGCCTGAAGTGCCAATTCTTCGCACATTTGACTCACCAACCAGCAGAAGAGCTCACGAACTTGGTAGCACTGTGGCCTTTTGCTCAGTGGGGACTTGATCTTTTGGGCCCATTCATGAAAGGGATTGGAGGTGTAACCCATCTGATTGTTGGAGTTGATTATTTTACGAAATGGGTTGAAGCTCAGCCATTATCCAGTCTTACCTCCAGAAAGGTCAAAGACTTTGTTTTTGGCTCGATTATCTACAGATATGCGATCCCAAACCCGATTGTGGCCGACAATGGTACTCAATTTAACTCCTCCTCCTTCCGAGATTTCTGCACCAGTTACAGGATCAAACTATAGTTCACCTCGGTTTATCATCCGGAGTCCAATGGTATGGTAGAATCTGTTAATAAAGCTATCTTATAAGGAATAAAGCCGAGGTTGGAGCAACACAAGGCCAGGTGGGCAGACGAGCTCAACAACATCCTTTGGGCATATAGAACTATGTGCCGTACTGCCACAGGTACTATTTCCAACCCAAGATACTTTCATTTTATTTTTATTTTCTCACCTACGGCTTTACCCTAGGTCAAATATGCATAATATGTAAATCATATTCTAAAGACTATAATTTCATGAAATAGGTGAAACATCCTATCACCTGGCCTTTGGTACCGAAGCAGTCATTCCTATTGAAATAGGAGTCCCAAGTTTCAAGGTAACCCATGTCGATGAAGGACGAAATGGACAACTGCTTCGAGAAAACCTTGATCTGCTTGCCGAAGTCAAAGAAGAGGCACGACTTTGAACCCTAGTATACAAGCAGAAATTAGCCAACTTCTACAACAAACGAGTCCGCCCTCTAACATTCAAAATAGGAGACCTTGTTCTCAAAAAGGCTGGCCTAACAAGGTTTGAAACTCGTTTTGGCAAACTGGCCCCGAACTGGGAAGGCCCTTACACAGTGGCCGAAGTGCTGCATCTTGGTGCCTATATCCTCCAAGATGCTGAAGGGAAGTGAATTCCTAGAGTCTGGAATGTCAATAACTTGAAGAAATTTTACCTTTAATAAAATTCTTTCAAGTGATCTTCATATTATTCTTCTTTATAATTATTACTTCTTCATTTCTGAGATTCATTTCATCTGTTATTCTGTATATCCGAGGTCAATCTGTCTAGACTCTATTCCTTGGACTGTATTTTTATTAATGAATCTCACTTCACATCCGAAGTGATTTCCTCTTCTCAACTCATGTCTAAAGTTATTTACTTCTTCTCAGTTCATATCCGAAGTGATTTACCTTATCTAAATCTTTATGTTAATACAAAATAATTAAAAAAGCACAAAATAAATAACCAAACTAATTAAAAAAATTTTTCTTTAAATAAATTAAAAAATCTGTACATTAATCACTGTTCAAATCCTAAATACATAAACAAAAAATAAAAAATAAAAAATCCCTAAACTATTCCGCTGGAGGAGGTGGCTGGGTGGCTCCTGCTTTGTTGGGAGAGGTGGCTGCTCTTCTTCAAAGGGAACTGGATGCACCGACACAGGAGGAAATGGCTGACTTTCATCAACTTCATCCTCTTCTGCTTCTCCTTCCTCTTCCTTCACTGCTACGAACTCGAAGTTGAAGTTAGGAGGAAAAACGGCGTGTCCTTCTTCATCATGATCCCATCTCAGCTTAACCTGAGGTCTGAAATCTGCTGACATGCCTGACATGCTTTCATTGTTCTCCTCCACCCTTTCCTCTTGTTCGCGGAAGGTGATCTTGGTAATATCCATTTCGGGATACTCAATTTTCACCTTCTTTCTGCAATCAGTGAAGGCAAGGATTGCAGTCGGCAGTCGGTACAGATTGATGATGTTGTCAAACAAGCTGGAGTTGATAAAGTTGCTGATATGCTCCTCCATCCCATTGTGGACTAGCAATTGGACATTCTTTTTGAGTTCCACCTTGGATTCTCTCATCCTTCTTATTTCCTCCTCTTGTGCTTCATTCTCTTCTTCGCACATTCTCTTTTTCTTCTCTTCGAATGAGAGAATCGTCTTCAGTGTATCTCTCTCCTTTTGTAAGCTTGTCACTGCTGGTACCACTATATCCAGTTCCCTCTTCATTTCCCCATTCTTCTTCAACAGCTCATCTCTTTCCCTTTACAGGCTGTTGCGCTCCTTCACGAGCTTCATGAATTCTTGGGCTAGCGCATTAAC